GGCTTGATCGCACCAGCTCCAGGGGGGGCGGTGTCGCGGTCATCATCAAGAAAGGCATCAAGTACTGCACCCTACCCCACTACCGCACTTCCATCATCGAGGCCGTCGGCGTAGAGGTGGAAACATCGACCGGAAACATCCGGTTCATCGCCGCCTACTGTCCCCGGCAATGTACCGTTAGCAATGGTACAGCACAGCAGTTCAAGAACGACCTTGCCATCATAACCCGCACCAATGCCCGCTTCGTAATCGGAGGGGACCTGAACGCCCGGCACGAGGCCTGGCGGAACTACCAGCAGAACCAGAACGGCCGCCTGCTATTCGACCATTCCCAGCATGGTCTCTATTCCGTCTGGTTTCCGGACGAACCAACCTTCACATCACCGACGGGCAACCCATCGACGCTGGACCTGTTCTTGGCAAACACCAGATTAGCCAAGCCGGTTGCCGTCAACGACCTGAGTTCGGACCACCAACCGGTGCTGACCGAGCTGGGCTACAACGTGGCCCCTGCACCGTGCCAGCGGAAGGACTACCATCGAGTCAACTGGGTCCAGTTTCGACGCGTGGTCGACCGCCACATCGACGACAACCCACCGCTCGACACAGTGGAGGACATCGACCGGGCCCTGGAGGGTCTCCATCAAGCCATATCCGTGGCTGACGAAGAGTGCGTTCGACGAGTTCCTGTGAGGGGTAAGTTTCAAGCAATTGATTCCCACACCAAACTCTTGATTCGGCTCAGAAATGTTCGTAGACGCCAGTTTCAGCGGACTGGGGATCTGCAGCGTAAATACGAAATGGTCGATCTGAATCGGCAGATCGCTTCCAGAATGGTCTCAATCCGAAACGAGAGTTTCGGGCGGCTCGTTCAGAACCTGGACGACCGTTCCAGACCATTCTGGAAGGTTGCCAAGGTGCTGAAGTCTCACCCCAAGCCCATTCCACCACTTAGAGTCAATGACGAACGGCTTATCACCAACGAAGAGAAGGCCAATGCGATTGGGGAGCACATTGCCCAGTCGCATTTGCTTGGCTCTAAAATCCCAAGTCCACTCGAGAACCAGGTTGCGCAGTGCGTCCTGACGTTAGATGCCTCCCCTTGTGCCGTCCCTCCAGAAGAACGGATTACAGAGGAACAAATTTGCTCAGCGCTGAAATACAGTAAGAACATGAAGGCTCCCGGGTTTGACGGAATATTCAACCTAGCGTTGAAAAATCTCAGCCCGAGGGTGCACTCGCTGCTAGCTGCCACCTTCAACAGATGCTTGGAGCTGCACTACTTTCCAAGCATCTGGAAGGTGGCAAAAAATCATCCCGATCCGCAAACCTGGGAAAGACCCTTCACTACCGTCAAGCTACAGACCGATTAGCCTGCTCTCAGCGCTGAGCAAGCTGTTCGAAAAATTGATCCTCAGCCGACTAAACAAGTTTGTGGAGGAACATGACATTCTTCTTCCGGAACAGTTCGGGTTCCGTAAGGGGCATTCCACCAATCATCAGCTAGTGCGGGTGATGAATAACATCCGGAGTAACAAAGCTGTATCCAAGTCCACAGCCATGGCCTTGTTAGACGTCGAAAAGGCGTTTGACAATGTCTGGCACGACGGACTTATATACAAGCTTTGTAACTCCAACTTTCCACCATACCTTGTGAAAATCACCCGTAACTATCTCCAGCAAAGGTCGTTCAGGGTGTCGTTGAATAGTTCCCTTTCGGGACAATTTCCGATCCCAGCAGGTGTTCCGCAAGGGAGTCTGCTGGGACCACTGCTTTACAGCATCTACACGTCGGACATCCCTCCTCTAGGAGACGGTTGCGTGTTCTTTCTGTTTGCAGATGACACCGCGATAGCCGTCAAAGGTAGGATGCCTCGTGAAATTACGAACAAGCTCCAACGATGCCTTGACACCTTTACTGATTATGCCACCACGTGGAAAATCAAAATCAACGCCTCAAAAACCCAAGCGATCATGTTCCTTCACAGACAATCATTAAAACTTAAACCGTCTCCCTCCTGTACCGTAATAATGGATGGTACAAGGGTCGAGTGGTCCACTGATGTTACTTATCTCGGGATGTTGTTCGATGAGAAGCTCCTGTTCCGCTCGCACATAGAGAAAACCCTAGTTAAGTGCTCCGCCTTGGTTAGGTGTTTGTATCCGCTCATTTGCCGCAGATCCCGCCTCTCAAGGCAAAACAAACTGGCTGTTTACAAACAGATCATAGCCCCCGCGATCTTCTATGCCGCCCCGGTGTGGGAATCGTGCGCTCAGACCCACAGGAACAAAATTCAGGTTGCACAGAATAGAGTGTTGAGGATGATCCTAGATCGTCCATTCGACACAAGAATAGCAGACCTCCATCAAGAGGCAGAAATTCCCAAAGTAGATTCCAAAATTGATGATATGACAACTAAATTTATTCAAAAATGCAATCTTTCTGAACATGCTTTAATAAGCAATTTGTACATAGTAGGTTAAGTGTATATAGTAGAGTAGGTTAGTTTTAAGCTGTAAATAGTAGTATTAAGTAGTTTCTCTTCAAATTCTAAAAACAAAACAAACCAATCCCACCAAGGTGGTCGACCGTGTACTAAGTCTAGGACTAATTCTGTAAAACAAATTTTGAATTTTGCCCATACCTAAAGATGAAGAAAGCAATTAAATCACTTAGTAAAAAATTTATATGGTAATCGTCCAAGTTAAACAAAAATAAAGATCATTTAAACATTTTGCAAAAATGGCATTAGCTCATTTTCGCTTCGGACGGCGTGGTGAACAGCAGCAGCAGTAGGAAAGTGGTGGCAAGTCCACTCCTTCACACCTAACAAGCAACAATTGACTGGTCGTGGCAAAGGAGGAAAAGGTCTGGTAAAGGAGGCGCCAAGCGTCATCGCAAAGTTCTTCGCGATAACCGTCATCGGTCGTCAGGCTCGCCGTGGTGGTGTCAAACGTATCTCCGGTCTGATCTACGAGGTGTGCTGAAGGTGTTCCTGGAAAATGAGGTCCGTGATGCTGTCACCTACACTAAACCCGCCAAGCGTAAGTGGCCATCGATGTCCTCTTCAGTAAAACGGCCCTTTTCAGGGCCATCAAGCTTCAGTAAAGAGTTGGAATAGAATTCATCTGTGCTTGTTTGTCCATATTCAGAACCACAAGCCCCCAACGACCACACAATGCTCTCCAGAGTTGTAATCTTGTAACCAAACATGGAAGCAGGGGTGCAAGTGATTTTGATTGATTCTCTTAATCAACGTTCCATTAAAAAAAATACTACAAATTTGGTACGCCTACAATTCAAAAACGGAAAGAGTTGAGATAATAGATAATTGATCAATTAAAAGAACTAAATGCTCTTCAGATTTATTCCGTCCACTAGCGGTCCTACGTCAAGCTTCCGTTCATGCCCTTAGGCACAGACCCTTCTACTTTTTTTTTATTAAAGATATTTTCAGCTTCGGGCAACTTCTTAGATCATCAACATGAAGTCCTCATGCACACTAGCGCTGCATAGTGCGAGAGTAATGAACTAACCTGCCCAGTGATGGCATGATCATTAGCAAATTGATATTTTTCCACTCTCATACGCTCTCAATATCACGCGTGATATTGGAGCAGAATAACTTGCTTGATATTGATTTTACAAGCTCCTTTGATATTGCGAGACTATTCACAACGTATAAAGTTGAAGCCTCGGTTGAAGCCTCGATTGAAGCGATTGAAGCTGAGAGCTGAATCGACGCAAAAATGATTCCGTTGCACCTCGTTTTCTTAGAAAGATTAGGTATAATAATGCTATCTCTTTTTTATCTTCACCAGTGGCAGAAACGAAGCGACTGCTGCTAGCCATTATGGAAGTTTCTGTTGCCTTCGGCTGTAAAGCAAAAATAATGAAACTCAATCTTACCATAGTTTGGAGAGATTTGCAGGTGTTGGGTTTGTATGCTTGATATTCTGAGCTGCGACATCACAGCTTGCAATATCAACCGCAGTTGTGTGCTTATTGATTTTTGTCTACGTAAATCAAGCGTGATCTTGGCCTTTGGTGAGATTTAATTTTTTGATATTTTTCCAACACTGAACCTGCCCACAATTTGGAAGACCTTGGTCAGCTGAACAACTTCCCCGAAGACGGAATCTTCCTATATAATAGTCAAGATCTCAAGATATATTTTATACTTGCATATTAGTGCCGCATTGGTAGTAAATTCTGAACTACTGTTCTCTAGCCAATCGACCTTGATCAACTGTACAACTTTGCTGAAGACAGTAGCTAGGGTGGCCAACCTTACGACGCATGATTTTTACTAGCATGAAACATCATCCTGAATCTGAAAAGGAAATTTCCTGAAAATCAATTTAATTAGGGAAAGTACTCTAAAGATCAGTATTTACATAATTTATCGCGGAAATAATGCATACTCTTTGGTTAAATGTTAGTTCAATCCCTGCGTGGCCGTCCTACCCCGTCGTCTACAAACGCCTGCTACAACTGCCAGAGGCGATTCAATTTGCTATTTATTGGGAGGAGACCCCCACGAGACAGAGGGAAAGAAGCATCGAGAAAAAAAAACATGACATGCGGATAGCAGCAAATCGGAATATGATTGTCGTTTCATGGCGGTTGGCGTAAAAAAACGAGAATTTTTAATAACTCTTTGAAGGACACTCCTCTGCACGCTGTTATTGGTATCTAGTTATTGCGATCAATTTCAGTCGTGGTGGATTTGTTTTAAGGGCATGTGATATTGTTTGTGACATAGTAGGTGATTTTTTGCTTTTTTTAAATGTATTGTCTTTTTTTACAATCGAAGAATCACTCTCTGGATGGCAAATTCTTTCCCGTTGGATGGAAGGAACATTTGAGAGAGATTCGTTTCTGTGAGTTACTTACTAAACAACAGTCTAATAAATAGGACATTTCATAAGAAAGGAATTTCTAAGGTTTGGACAAAAACTGTTACAAGGGGGAACTTGAGGGGAGGGGGGGGGGGGGGTGCTTAGTGACTCAGTGATCAACGATTTACCAGCCATAATGGGCATGAGTTCCGTCGTAGCTGACATGGGCAACCTCAACAGCTGGGGAGTAGGTCAGGGTCTTGGTGGAGTGAGCTGAAACAACTGGGGCAGCATGAGCGTAGGTCTGGACAGCTGGGGCAGCATGGGCGTAGGTCTGGTAAGCTGGGGCAGCCTGGGCGTAGGTTTGGTAAGCTGGGGCAGCATAGCTGACCTGCTTGGCGACGGCAACTGGGGCAGCATGTGCATAAGTGGCCACAGCTGGGGCGGAGTGGGCGTAGGTGGTGTGCACAGCTGGGGCAGCTTGGGCATAGGTCTGGTAAGCTGGGGCAGCATAGCTGACCTGCTTAGAGACGGTAACTGGGGCAGCATGGGCGTAGGTCTGGTAAGCTGGGGCAGCATAGCTGACCTGCTTAGAGACGGTAACTGGGGCAGCATGGGCGTAGGTCTGGTAAGCTGGGGCAGCATAGCTGACCTGCTTAGAGACGGTAACTGGGGCAGCATGAGCGTAGGTCTGGTAAGCTGGGGCAGCCTGGGCGTAGGTCTGGTAAGCTGGGGCAGCGTGGGCGTAGGTCTGGTAAGCTGGGGCAGCGTAGCTCACCTGCTTAGCGACAACTGGGGCGTGGGAGTAGGTGGCGACAGCTGGGGCAGCATAGGTGGTAGCATAAGCCAGCTTGGGGGCTTCGTTGGTGATGCGGGTGTCGGACTTGCGGACGCTGGAGAAAGCAGTGTCGACGGCCTTGGAGTGATGGGAGATGGTGCCATCATGGCTGCGGATGGTGCTCTCGTGGGTAGATCCAACAGCTGGGGAAGAGTAAGTGAAGGTCTTGGCAACTGGAGCAGCATAGGTGGCAACTGGAGCAGCATGAGCATAGGTCGTGTGGACAGCCGGGGCAGCATAGGTCAAAGCCTTTGCTGGGGCAGCCTGGGACAGGGTGCTGTAGCTCACAGCCGAAGCTGGAGAGTAGTGAGCTGGTGCAGCATACGACACTGGAGCTTCCAGATATCCAGCGCTGGCAACGGCCAACGAAGCCAGGAAAACGACGAACTACAAAAAAATCACACAAAATGTTCAAAATTAGTATCACTCAATTTCCACAACATTATCACTTAATAAGTCCAATAAAATCCACCACAAACACTTTTTTCGCACCTTGAATGCCATTATGCTGATACTGGAAATGGGGTATGTATGTTTACACTGAAGTCACTGTGATCAATGATACTGTTTGGTTGGCGTCGTCCAATATTTATATCAAAAGCTTTTTGCAAACCAAAGCCATCAACTCTGCGACGCTCGGAGCCCGAAAACAATTCAACCTCGGTTGGAATTTTTTTTTGCCTCTGCTCTCAATTGGGTAGGACAACGGCGAAAAGAACACTTCATCCCCATACCTACATACATCCACCTTTACTCACGTTCGAGTAGGTGCGACAATTCGCGAAGACAGCCTCCAAAAGGAGGAAGCACGACGAAACCGATGGGAGTAAAAAACCTATTTTAGCGAAAAGCGATCAACCTAGTGCCAATACGAGAGCAATCGAGAGCGAGAGGGACTTGTAGAAGCCCGGTGGCCGCAAGAGACAAACCCCCCGTCTTCGTCATAGTCGGGGTAAGGCACTTTCGCTTTCGTTTTAGCGAACCGGCATTTTTTGGCATGATCAGCAAAGCAGGATCAGGGGGGTGAGCGGGGGCTCAAAACTTTAACCCGTCCGAACAATAGCGATTATCGCACATAGTAGTTGAAGGATGGCAGTGTGAGCGGAACGGGTTGATGCTCTGAACTTGTCTGTTTGTTTGATCAAAGAGTCGTCGTTATAACGTCAGAACCTGATTAAATTCCGTTGAAACATGAAACCATGACATGGAAGAGTGGCAAAGTTGATTTTGCGACCGATCGTTGTTTGGGTCGCGAATTACGATGTAGGTAGAGTAGGGGTGAACCGTTGTCATTTGATTGATTTCATTCCGAAAGGAGGTTTGGGGGCTTAGAAATGGCACGGATCGCTGGTTGGGTGTCATAATTGATCCAATTGTGCTAGTGGTAGGATGGCGTTTGGATTGTTGCAGTAACAGACAAACAGAAAAATGTGTTTAATGCGATTCAGTGTGTTGGGAATTATTTCGGTGTTTGGTGATTTTGAAGACACGGAACGGAGCGTACTCTCTAGTGACAGAGCATTATCATCCATAGAATGGAGTGATTTTTTTTCGTTTCGCAAGTTTGGTTCGATGTCGCACATTTCGGATACAGTTAAATGTTTTGATTTGTTAAGAAACTTGTCAGAGAGTTTTGAAGTTTCTTATACAATTCTGTTGGAAGGTGTTGCCCCGGAGATGAACCAGCGTCTGGCTGAAAATCTCCTTAATAAAGACAACCAACCAACCAACCAAGGTGTTGCCACTGACGAGTGAATTCAAAATCAACTGTGCGTCAACTTAACCGTGGAAGTGCTCTAAGAACAGCGCGTTAGATCTGCTCAAACAAAAAGCTAATATGCTGTTGAAGAACGACCAACCTAAGTGTCGTGTCACCCATGTCTATCTTTTCCATTCAAAATTGGTCAGTGCTTCTAGCTGGAATGCAACCAAGTAACCAATAAGTCAGATATTTCGCCTTTTTGCAATGCAAGGCTGATATACAGATAATATATGGCATTCTAACTTTATATTAGCGCGCTTATTAAACATTTTGTGTTGCTTGAGCAGCTCCGGAAAATGTTCCTATTGAGCATTTCCAGGTCAAATATAAAAAAATATAAAGACTCTACCATCTCCGATTTGCATGGAACTTTGCATGTTTCTTATGGTCTGTTGTATTTTTCGTCATTTTTCAGTTACGATTTCTTGAAATTATCATGTTAAGAAATTTCTAGTCTAGGATCAGAAATTGAAATAAGACAGTAATGTAACGATATGTATCAATGGAGACGCAGGGTAATCTAGCGTATTGGAGTAATGAGCGAAATTTTTAAACATGATAATTTCAAAAAATCGTAACTCAAAAACGATGAAAAATTCTTAGCTAATTTATTGATATGTTGTGATGAAAAGCCTAAATTTTCAAAGAAAAATATAACAGCGTGTTACGCCCATTGCACACTGGGCCAAGAGCAAAATTAATTACTTCGAAACGAAGCATTTTCGCGTATTGGTGTCTTGGGCAAAGTTTCTCATCATAATAAGGACCATCTATTGACATAAACAAATAGTTCAAAACTCTTCCGCAAAGATGGCGCCACAATTTAACTTCTTTCTCTGACGTTTTGGAGACTTGATGTCTTCAGCAAAGTTGTTTATCTTGACAAAATAAACAACTATTTTCAAGACGTACAATTTCCTCCGCCTACTGGGTTCTGAGTTATATTATATACCAAAAAATTTGAAAATATGTTTTTTTCTTTCTGTTTCGTTTTTTGTTGTTGCTTGCATCAATTAAATAACCTTTGTAAAGAAAAATACTGGTTTAAGTTTCAAATTTTAAAGATATTCTTGAAAAAAACGACAAAAACAACAATTTTTGAACTTTAATAGGGTAAATGTCGGCTTCAGCACCCATTGACTGTTTTCGGCAACCAAAATTTAAACGTTAATTTCACTATGTTTTCCCATCAACACACTTCCCTGAATGTATCCAAACGATTCTTTAGTCTTTCAGCTTCAATCTGATTATATGTGTACGTCTGAGCAGTCCTGTTATGGCAGATTTTTCTTCAAATGAAGCATACGTATTCTAAAATGGGGTTGATTTCAAGTTGCCGATAATAGAACAGCTGGTTAACACGCGGTTCTAATGGGAAGGTTGCCGAAGAAAACGAGGCTGCCGACAATAGTCACACTCACCTGAGAAGTTTGGAGCGTTGTAAAAACGCTTTCAAACAGTTTTGAAGAATTCTGTCGATTAAAATGGATAGAGAAGCAAGCAGCAGATGAATGTAAAACAACAGACACGTCATATATGTGCGTGACGCTGAGAAAATGCTAATAGAAGGGTGGACACTGCTTAGATTGACGAGAATACGTAAATTCCCCTATGTCCGAAAGCGCAAAAAATTGCAATTTGACATTTTCAGCAAAAATTAAGCAATACTCGATAAACAAAACATCAAAATTTGAGAGAGGTATATTTTGGTGTTCTTTAGATTTCTTCATTTTAGTGGAACATGTTTTTTCAATAACATTAATGAAATGGCGTTTTGAATTCTGACGACTTAGGCAAAGTTGTTTATCTTGATAAAATAAACAACTCTTCTTAAGACGTCAAAACTCCACAGCCTACTGTTTTTGAGTTATATGGAATTACAGAAAAATGTGAAAATAATGGGGTTTATTTTAAATATATTGATTAAATGCATATATCACGAAAACAGTAGGCTGTGGAGTTTTGACGTCTTTAGAAGAGTTGTTAATTTTATCAAGATTAACAACTTTGCTCCAGTCGTCAAGTCTTCAAAACGCCATGTCAATGCCTTAAAAAGATATTTTTTTCTGAAAATTATTTTTAAAAACCTTTCATTTGATATTTTCATCATTCAAATCGGTTTAGTGGTTCAAAAGCTATAATTTAAAAAAAATGTCATTTTTGGAAAAACACATAGAAAAAAAATCGATTTTTTGACCACTCTTACATAGAAATGGTCACCCTAATGAGAAAATTAAAAAAAAAATTACGGGTCTAATGTTTTTCGATAAGGAACAAAACTACCAATTGTTACGAAATTCTGAGAACCACTCTATCGTTTTGCTATGGAATGGCTGTATAATTATAATAAAAAAAGTTTTTTTTAAGAAAAATTCAAACGGCTGATGCGGGAATCATACCCTCATTTAGTGGCACACACACAGTTAACCTAAAATACGGTAACTTCATTAACTGCATGACCACTATGTCAACTTGAACGTGATTAATCCACAATGTCAAAGAATAGTTTTGCTATGTAGCTCAATTGGAAGCGTTAATGATTCTGAATGCTAGAATTTAATTTTTTTTCCTATGTTCCAGATCATGAACATATTTTCCTATGAGATCTTCACATGATATCTTTGACCATTTATCAAGAGTTCCCTTTGAATCATCCTAGAATCTCATCATACTGCTTTTCTGAGCTCCCCTACAATAATATTGGTAATCTCCGAACTTTTTCAATAACATTCTAGGCGTTTGATGCAGACCACTCTTAGTGCGTATTCTCTCTAGAAATCTCTTAGAAATTGCTCTACAAAACCATAATGCACTCAAACTAGTAATAATTCCCGAGATTTCGCCTATTTTTATTTCGAAGTTTCTCTAGAAAATTCTCTTGGAATTTTCTTCATAATTTCCTTGGTACACCCTTCAGAATTACCTTAAGCCTTTTCTCAGACTTACTTACTTACTTATTTAACGGGTGTCCAATAAAAAATGAGAATGAGTTCAGTGCCGTTCAGCGCTCTTGTGAGAGCATCGCGACTTAGTTGCGTCGTACGGCTGACCAGGGCCCCTTCTCCAATATTCATTGACGTTTTTTTGAAGAATAAATATTATGTTTTAAATTTTTTTCTGGCCTAAAAACTGAAGATCTAATATTTAGCAATACCAGCGCCGGCCGTGTCCGAATGCAGGTCCAATAGGGAATGGGAAGGAATGTGTTGACGTGATACTCGCTGTGAAGGAAACCGAGAAATCCTCTGCGCTTCCACGAGAAATCACTGGGATGTTGGATGTGGGGAAAGGTTTGCAGCAGCAGGGATCGTTTTTGGTAAACTAATGCTGATTGTAGTGATTTATAATAGGTACATAAACACAAAAACGCACGCATACACACGCACACACACCCACTCGTGAGTATAAACAGATTATAAAATGATATTTAATTGAACTTTAACTTTATTTTAACTTAACTTTAACATAACCTCAACTTAACTTTAACTTAACTTTTACTTAACTTTAACATAAATTCAACTTAACTTTAACTTAACTTTAACTTAACTTTGACTTAACTTTGACTTAACTTTAACATAAATTCAACTTAACTTAACTTAACTTTAAGTTAACTTTAACTTAACTTTAACTTAACTTTAACTAAACTTTAACTTAACTTTAACTTAACTTTAACTTAACTTTAACTTAACTTTAACTTAACTTTAACTTAACTTTAACTTAACTTTAACTTAACTTTAACTTAACTTTAACTTAACTTTAACTTAACTTTAACTTAACTTTAACTTAACTTTAACTTAACTTTAACTTAAC